ATAGAGCTGATAGCCGAGGCGGTAGAAATCGCCAAGCATCCCGGTGTTAACAGAATAGAAGGCGTGGAACTTGCAAGCGTGTGGAGAACGGTTTTGGATCGGTCGAGCTGACACGTGTTGGTGTGCGGTCATCAGAAGGAAGAGTAGACATCATCCGAATTCCATTTGACCTCAACCCCCCTCAAACTAAATTGTCGGAGCACTCACAAACCCACAAAGACCAAGGAAAATCTGCCAGTGGCAACTGAGATTAACGAGCCAAACACGATCAGAATTAATTAATTAATTAATTCGAATTAATTCGAAACTCCTCCAATCCACCAACGCTAGATTTTGACAACCACCCTAACCGACAAGAGCCGTTAATTGACATTCAACACTGATCTAGCGTGATAATCTGAAGAGGACTGACTTACTGACTTATAACCTTGCCAGTTTGATGACCTGCTCACTTGGCCTGATGAAGCTTTCGTGTCAAAAGCGAAACGTTGCCCAAGTAAAAACTACCAATTGTTTATCAAGCTCTTCTGAAACGAAATACAGAGCTATCTCAAACCCACTGATCGTTACCTATTTTTTAAGAGCCAAACACAAATTTATTGAACAATATCAGAATGGAGAACATTCTCGAAATGAAGTCTGCAGCTGAAACTGTGAAGCTTCTCTCAAATGTGTCCTGCGACTGTTTGGCAAAAGCCAAATTAATCCACTCATGTCCTAAACTGTGTTTCCCACCATATTTTCTCCAGGAGGCACGTTCACGAGATCGTATCGCAAAGTTTACGTTTTGTTCTACACAAAAGCAAACTGTTGTGTTTTTCATTCGCTCTCTATGCGCCTGAGTTTACCTGGTATCCGTGGTAGATTAGCGGGAAACGCCCTGGCCTCTGTCACAGACGCTGGAGAGCAGGACTAAGCGGAATACTTCGGCAGCGTTTCAGATTGGAAACGACTAGCGGCTAGGAGATATTTCCAAACCCTGGAGCATAGAAAAGCAATTTGGCACATTGGGCAGTTGGTCGTCCCAAGAATGGTTCTTAGGTAATGGGGTACTGCAGATGAAACAGAGAGTTGATTTTTTCGCATCCTGTGGAATTTCGTGGGGCATCATATGAACGATGGACGAAGAAAGCGCTGCAGATGCTCGTTTGAGGATAAAATAGAGACTTTTTCAATTAGCCGCGTAAAGTGCCAGACATAAATGGGATCTTGCGGTTAAGTTGCGCTACATCCCCTTTATCTGGCAAGGCAAAGCGGATCTAAATTCGCCTCTGTCTGAATCAAGAAGGACGAGCGGCGTAGGTCTATACATTCCATCTGACACTCAAGAATGAACTAATGAAGAGGTTCTGGATGACCATCGATTACCTGTCATGGGCCTAAGTTCCACCGTGTTGGTATCGACTATCTAAGCAGCAACCTGGGCGTTAGGTAGCCCGTCGTTTACAAGATAATCGTAGTGATGCCTGGCTCTAAGCATAAATACATCAGCCACTTCTCTGCTTTGTAGAATCCTCTTCCGTGATCTCGATGGTTTCCTCCTCTTGAGTGCGCCTTGGGATATAAAAGGTGAATTTCGGGTATGGTAGATTGTGAGAATAGAAAGTCGTGAGACACTATAAATATGTGGCCAACCAATACAGGCATACACTGGACAAAAACTCGACTGATTCATGTGGTGCAAATTGGGAGACGGCTGAATCAAGCCGTTCAAACGATGTCATGTATCCGTATTGGTCTGTCTGAGCAAGCTGAGGAAAACCGACGAACTTGAGGTGGATGCCATGGAACAATTCTGTCACCCGAGGAAGGATTCAGCGTGTCTGGTAAGCCAGAGTTCCTGTGTATTTACTTACGGCATTCATCGGTGCACTGTTGGTGATGGTCGACGATAATCCAGAAAAATCGGCTGAACTCCAGCGATTTTCTTCTTGGTTGCATACGTCATATAAAAATCTAAACTAACGAATACTGTTGAATTGAAATTGGAGAACCATATAGAGTTTTACGTCTCCGTCGACTTGGATAAACCGTCTTCGAGGATTTGAGAGCACCTACTTCGATGTCCTTCATCAAACCTGACCTAATCGCTGTTCGAGGTCGCCGTGCAACTCTACTAGAGGTCTGCATAGTCTCGGATGGGCGTGGAGTGATAGTGTGGAATGAGAAGAAGCAG